ATCGCACAACATAATCCGGGGAATTTGGCCGAGGCGAGCGCCGGGTATGTTGCCGCAAACTGCAGGATGGAAGACCAGCAAGCAACGACGGGAATGGCGGCCATGGCTCAACCATCTCAGCGGGCGTGTACCGGCAAGGTGGAGAATGGCTGTAAGGAAGAAAGCGCAGTTAAAGTGTGACCGAAGGCTGCCGGAGGCATTTATATATGATCTGACACATGTATGACAGGCGCGGTGGCCACCAGGGTTTGCATAAATGTCCCGCGACATGTGCTCCCGCCCCTGGGACCGTTTGTTAATCAATAATCCCCCCAATCCCCCCAATCCCCACAATCCCGAGGGATCCGAGTGGGTCTCAGTATCTGAGGAGCCAGGGCTGGCACGTTCCATGCGGCGCACACTTTGCTGGGAAGCTGAGCCCTTGCTTTCGTTGCCGAGTACCAGCCCCGTATGGTACACAGTCGCATGAGGGTCCCCAGCTCCAGCTTCTCCGCCTCGTCGTACGAGACTTCTTCCTCTCTCTCGATGGTGCTCTGCACAGCCAGGACAAAGTCCTCGTCGATGTTTATGTGGAGTTCCTGGTAGAGTAGAATGGTGTCCATGCTGTTCGCACCACGCATGTGCTCCTTGAATGCGCTCAGCACCTGCGCGCGGACGCCCTCGAACTCCCACATCGCCGCGAGCTTGAAGACCGTCTTCAACCGCTCCAGAGACATCAGCGCCGAGTTGGACCTGGAGGATCTGGGAGCTGCCTTTAGACAATTCGTTTCACCCTGCCCGGGAGTCGCACCTTTGGTAAAGGACGTCAAGAAAGTCCTCTAGCCCCGCTGCCTTGATCCCCTGAAGCACAAGCGGGAGCTCCGCTGAAGAGCCTTCGTCTTTCTGGTGGGAGTTGGGCAGCTCGAACATGTGCCTGAACACTTCAGAGCCGCCCTCGAAGTCCCGACGGTGGACCTTGAAGAGCGTGTCCTCAGCCTGATAAGTACGCGCCGTCAGGGGGATATAGCAGCCACTGCAGCTATCAATGCTAGCGCACACGTATGAATAGGTCCTGTAAGTAGAACCTGCCTGATCTCTTCAGCTGAGGCGGCTCCGTAGCTTGTGACTGAGAAAACATTGCGCGAGGTGGTACTAGTACACCGCCAATTTTCGCCCAGGTAGAGTCCATACCCGTGCTTAAACCGTGAGCCACCCGAGCGATCAGGTGGCTGAAGCATCCCTGTCGTATAACTGCCAGATGGCTGATAAGGTCTGGCCGCCATCTGGTAGCTCATCTGGTCACCAGGCAATCGGTCACACAACAGTCACCCAACAGGTCCAGCTGGATACCTGCCCAAGAATTGTGATTATTTCCGCACAGTTTGTACAATCATGCACCCCATGTATTGAAGATGGGTGCAGGAGTTTATGCTTTGCAGAGCAAGTTTATTGGCATATAGTAGCAACGCTCTACATATACCGCGGCATAAATACAGATGCGGTCATGCTCTCTTGCGCCTGCGAGAACTTGGCTCGGGGTCTTCTTCCATGTCCGGGTTGTGATCATCTGAGAGCGCCGCCTTGTCGCCGCCGCTCTCCTTGAATCCAGCGTCCGACTCGGACGCTGCACTTAACAAATCCGCACCCATATTCTCCAGCTCGTCACTTCACTTATTGTTGTACTCCGATATGTCCCGTAAGTATTGTTGGTTGCCTAAATTTCTGCAAGTAAACTGATATATCTTGTACAATTCTTGGCGAGACATGCTTCCAGGACGTGAACACTGACTGGTGAAGTTAAAAATGAAGATTATTCATAGTGCATGTGGTTCACTCATGCCAATGGATCGCATGTGGCCTGTATTGTTTGAGACATGATCGGAGTGGTCCTTCAAAAGGCCACCAAATGATCACAACATAAAACCGTAGGACGGCATGTCGTTCTTCCTTTTAAACACCCATCAACATGCGCTCTGTATTTCTGCAACCGCCTTCTGTAACAGCTTGAGTGGTTCACTAATGCCAGTAGCTCGTAGCCTGGCAGCTCCAAGCAACCGGCCACCGTTCTTGGAAAACGAACCCGCCTCACTGAGAGCATGAGCGATTCGGAGGAAGAAGATACTGATACCATCAGAGACCACTCTCGAGAGCTCACTGCCAGTAACAACGACACTTCTTCTGCCCACTATGCACCACATCCCGCAACTAGGGCCAATACAGTCAGCCGGAATGTCCTCGAGTACGCCAAGAGACTTGGAGCCAAGGCGAAGCTTCATGCCGAGCAGCAAGAGAAGCTCAATTCTTTTGCTGCAGTATGTCTTTCCATTGGGCCACACTCACTTCGTAGCCAGTAGGCTTACAGGTTTTCGATGTAGGACCCTCTGGCCACACGAGAGATGAAGATCTTCTCACTCCTGCTCGCCATTCAACAATGGCAAGAAGATTTTATCACTACACAGGCCCCATGGGGGCCCTCTGATGAACTCATTGTAATCATGGTACACCACATTCGACTGTATTTGGTGCCGGTTGACTTTGCGGCAGGCCAACATCCAAAATTACACAATCGGCGTCTTACTTCCCAGCCAGCTTGCAACATACAAGGGTGTCCTGCCAAACAATTATGTTACAGTATGTCCTTATATTTGGGTGTTTCTATGCACTAATGATATCCATATGTCTATCTTACAGGGCATCCTCAAATGCTACTGGTTCAACTTGCTGGCAGGTATTGAGCGCAACCACGGCCACTGGGCCAAGGTGATTAAGGCCATCCAGCATGGAATGACCGAGCAATGGGCAAAGATCAAAAAGACAGTAAGTCGAACTTATTCCGGATCTTCTTGACATGTCAGCAGTGTGCTCATGCTTGTCTCACTTAGCTCCATGCTGGCACTGACGGTGATGACCATCAGGAACACCTCAACATCTTCAAGCTCACTGAAAATTGAAATCTGCGGGGATACGTCATGCGAGCCGTCTCTTCTGCTTTGCACAAGAGTGGCGCCTCTAGTACGTGCTCGCCTCTCGCTCAACTTCTGATGTTTGGCATTGACTAATGTGGACCATCTGCAATAGCGGAAGACATTCCTGACAAATCCGACTGCGACTTCTGGGATTCAGCCAACAAGAACCTTGCAGAGATTCGCAACGTGGCCGACTGCGATCCCAAGAAGATGACCAAGATTTTCAGCAAGATCTTAGCGAATGATTGGGCTACTCATGGCGTCGTTGAGGAGGGTGAGGATGGTGACATTCAGGCACAAGTTCCGGAGTTGCAGCAGACTGTTAACGAATCTGTCGGCAGTCAAGCTTAGTTTTACGGCAGCGCCACAATATATTATATTACCGCAATTGCAAGCACTTGATGAAGTTATCATTACATTAAGGCCGCGTGATGCACCTGCCGTGCGCTGACGACTACTCCGCAAACTCGGCAAGATGACAGACTACCAGAGTTCCGAGGGTCACAAATACACGGGTGGCTTCTACCAGTGAAGACATGTCTCTACCACCCATCTTCACGCCTGGCTTCCATCCGTGTCTGGAACTGCTCCGTGACCAGAGGCGAAACATGATGAAAATCGGGCGCTCACGTGTCTTATTCGGGCGTCATCATCCAGGAACTTTCCAGTACCTCCCGTCTGGTCACCACCCGTGGAACTTTTGGCGGTGTAGTAGTATGAAAGTCGAAAACATCGTGCGAGGTGCTACTAGTAGTAGTATGAAAGTCGAAAACGTTACGAGATAAGGGTGCCTTACACTGCTGTCGAACAACCTACTAGTACTCTTTTAACGATCATGATCTTATCGAAGAAACGACCGTTCAAAGCACATTAATGCGGAGCGTAGGTGAAGGCCTGAGACCAAGTAAGCGTTTCAACTTCAGCACGTGGCTCAGACGCCTGAGCCGGGTGCTTGCGGCACAAGCGGCCGTTGCAGTAATGATCCTGGCTCTGGACCATCCGATCCCCGCTGGTCGGTGTCTGTCCTAAACACTTGATAGACGGCTGAATCCTCTCTGCATGGTTTTAGATATAGCCCGCTCACTATGCGAGGACTTCATAGCTCACATCTATGGCTGCCCGCGTTTCGTCAGACCCGGATGCTTCCTCGAGCGCACGGTACTTTGGCAGCGCTTGTAGATCTGCGTTCTCGTGCCCTTGGTTTCCGCTTGCCCCGAATCAGGTTCACACATACGAAAGTCACGTATCTTAATTTAACTGGAGCATCTCCTTCCTATTTGCACAACTCTCCCTCCGACTCCCCTCCGTACGAGTCGGAGCCGCTTTTTGGCCATGATCCTAACGCGATCACTGCTGCCCTCGAAGCGTCCGCGGATCTAGTCAGGAACGGTCCTCTGGTCACAGATTTATGTATCAAACTAGACAAGGCCCTCCTCGAAAGGGATTTCCAAGCAATTATGGAGCTGTGGCCGCGACTGCAGGAGCTAAAGCCTGCAGCTCTCAACATGCTGGAAATACGTCCGTACTTCCGGAATTACTCTTATAAATTCGAGGACCTGCACGTCCCTCAAGGCTTCTCCGACCAAAGGATTCACTCGACACTAGACGACCTCGCGGCTCACAGCGCCGCCGCCGGTTACATTCATGGCGCCGTCGTCCGAATGGACTATCATCTCAAGCGGCGAGAACACGATGCCGCGCTTAGCCTTACGCTCAAATGTCATTACATGATGGAGGCTCGCGATTTCCTGCTCACTGACCTGTTGAAGAGACCTAAGGACGAGTACGCTTCCATCGTACACGCGTCTGACAGGCATTCGGTCAGCGCAACCCCCAGATTCTTGGCCTTGGCGATTGCAGCCTGTTTCATGAAGAATGTATTTTCCCCTCTTCTACAACTTGGCATATCTTCTTCCGGCAGAAAATACCTCCCGACATTTCACGCCCTGAGGCAGGAAGCGGCCGCCGCCGCAGGCGCGTATGGGTTGCCCGAGAACAAAGTAGTTCACATGGCACACAGAGTCTGCAATTTATGGCTTGCGGCATTGGCGGCGTCTGACCTTCAGAAGTACTTTGGTCCAATTGCCAGTTTTCGATGCGAGGCTTCAAGTTCACCGCTGACACACTTCGCCGAATTCATCGTCCAGGAGCTCTCGGAAGACGAGCCTTTCCTTACTCTCGACCCTACCGCGGCTGTCGCGTCCCAAAGTCCTCTCATTCTGTTTACCGACGAACACTGGGCGTTCCTGATACTTGGCCTCATACGTTCTGGCGCTGTGCAAGCTGCAGAACGCTTCTGGCTGGGCATGAACAACGGTGGCGTCAAGACGCCGCCGCTCGTTCAGGCTGCAGTCATCGATGGTTTTGCTTCCTTGGAGAGATTTGATCGCGCACGGGTCGCTTGGAACACATTTCACTCTGCCACAGAAATTCCAGCAACAGTCGTTTATCAGGCATACATCCAAGCTTTGTTTCGAGAAGGACGTCCAGACGATGCGCTTGCAGAATTCCATCGCTTCGAGCAGAGTGTCCGCAAGAGATCCGATACTCCGAGCGACCCCACAGCCGTCTCGGTTTTCAACGATGTGCTTGATTGGCTGGTTGG